GGTCTGAGATCGAACCCACGTCCTCCTGCATACCAGGCGAGGTAGTCAACATCTCATCAGGGTCTGGGATCGAACCTACGACCTCCTGTGTACCAGGCGAGGTAGTCAACATCTCATTAGGGTGGTGATCGAATCCACGACCTCCTGCAGGCCAGGCGAGGTAGTCAACATCTCATCAGGGTCTGCGATAGAACCCACAACCTCCAGCAGACCAGGCGAGGTAGTCAACATATCAAGGTCGGGATCGAACCCACAACCTCCTGCAGACCAGGCGAGGTAATCAACATCTCATCAGGGTCTGGGATCGAACCCACGACCCCCTGCAAACCAGGCGAGGTAATCAACATCTCATCAGGGTCAGGATCAAACCCACGACCTCCTGCATACCAGGCGAGGTAGTCAACATCTCCTCAGGGTCGGGATCGAACCCACAACCTCCTGCAGAACAGGCGAGGTAGTCAACATCTCATCAGGGTCTGGGATCGAACCCACGACCCCCTGCAAACCAGGCGAGGTAGTCAACATCTCATCAGGGTTGGGATCAAACCCACGACCTCCTGCAGACCAGGCGAGGTAGTCAACATCTCATCAGGGTTGGGATCAAACCCACGACCTCCTGCAGACCAGGCGAGGTAGTCAACATCTCATCAGGGTCTGGATAGGACCCACGACCTCCTGCAGACCAGGCAAGGTAGTCAACATCTCCTCAGGGTCGGGATCGAACCCACAACCTCCTGCAGACCAGGCGAGGTAATCAACATCTCATCAGGGTCTGGGATCGAACCTACGACCTCCTGCGTACCAGGCGAGGTAGTCAACATCTCATTAGGGTGGTGATCGAACCCACGACCTCCTGCAGACCAGGCGAGGTAGTCAACATATCATCAAGGTCGGCATCGAACCCACGACCTCCTGCAGACCAGGCTAGGTAGTCCACATATCATCAAGGTCGGGATCGAACCCACAACCTCCTGCAGACCAGGCGAGGTAGTCAACATCTCATCAGGGTCTGGGATCGAACCCACGTCCCCCTGCAAACCAGGCGAGTTAATCAACATCTCATCAGGGTCAGGATCGAACCCACGACCTCCTGCATACCAGGCGAGGTAGTCAACATCTCATCAGGGTCGGGATCGAACTCACAACCTCATGCAGACCAGGCGGGGTAATCAACATCTCATCAGGGTCTGGGATCGAACCTACAACCTCCTGCGTACCAGGGAGGTAGTCAACATCTCATTAGGGTGGGGATCGAACCCACGACCTCCTGCAGACCAGGCGAGGTAGTCAACATCTCATTAGGGTCTGGGATCGAACCCACGCCCTCCTGCGGACCAGGCGATGTAGTCAACATGTCATCAGGGTCAGGATCGAACCCACGACCTCCTGCAGACCAGGCGAGGTAAGTCAACATATCATCAGGGTCGGGAACAATCCCACAACCTCCTGCAGACCGGGCGAGGTAGTCAACATCTCATCAGGGTCTGGGATCGAACCCACGTCCTCCTGCATACCAGACGAGGTAGTCAACATCTCATCAGGGTCGGGATAGAACCCACGACCTCCTGCGTAGCAGGCGAGGTAGTCAACATTTCATCAGGGTTGGAATCGAACCCACGACCTCCTGCAGACCAGGCGAGGTAGTAAACATCTCATCAGGGTCTGGGATAGAACCCACGACCTCCTGCAGACCATGCGAAGTAGTCAACATCTCATCAGGGTCGGGATTTAACCCACAACCTCCTGCAGACCAGGCGAGGTAGTCAACATCTCATCAGGGTCGGGATCGAACCCACAACCTCCTGCAGACGAGGCGAGATAGTCAACATCTCATCAGGGTCGGGATCGAACCCACAACCTCCTGCAGACCAGGCGAGGTAGTCAACATCTCATCAGGGTCGGGATCGAACCCACGACCCCCTGCAAACCAGGCGAGGTAATCAACATCTCATCAGGGTCAGGATCGAACCCACGACCTCCTGCATACCAGGCGAGGTAGTAAACATCTCATCAGGGTCTGGGATAGAACCCACGACCTCCTGCAGACCATGCGAGGTAGTCAACATCTCATCAGGGTCGGGATTTAACCCACAACCTCCTGCAGACCAGGCGAGGTAGTCAACATCTCATCAGGGTCGGGATCGAATCCACAACCTCCTGCAGACGAGGCGAGATAGTCAACATCTCATCAGGGTCGGGATTTAACCCACAACCTCCTGCAGACCAGGCGAGGTAGTCAACATCTCATCAGGGTCGGGATCGAACCCACGACCCCCTGCAAACCAGGCGAGGTAATCAACATCTCATCAGGGTCAGGATCGAACCCACGACCTCCTGCAGACCAGGCGAGGTAGTCAACATCTCATCAGGGTCGGGATCGAACCCACGACCTCCTGCATACCAGGCGAGGTAGTCAACATCTCATCAGGGTCTGGGATCGAACCCACAACCTCCTGCGTAGCAGGCGAGGTAGTCAACATCTCATTAGGGTCATGATCGAACCCACGACCTCCTGCAGACCAGGCGAGGTAGTCAACATCTCCTCAGAGTTGGAATCGAACCCACGACCTCCTGCAGACCAGGCGAGGTAGTCAACATCTCATCAGGGTCTGGGATCGAACCCACAACCTCCTGCAGACCAGGCGAGGTAGTCAACATCTCATCAGGGTCGGGATAGAACCAACGACCTCCTGCGTACCAGGCGAGGTAGTCAACATCTCATTAGGGTGGTGATCGAACCCACGACCTCCTGCAGGCCAGGCGAGGTAGTCAACATCTCATCAGGGTCTGGGATCGAACCCACGACCTCCTGCATACCAGGCGAGGTAGTCAACATCTCATCAGGGTCGGGATAGAACCCACGACCTCCTGCATACCAGGCGAGGTAGTCAACATCTCATCAGGGTTGGAATCGAACCCACGACCTCCTGCAGACCAGGCGAGGTAGTAAACATCTCATCAGGGTCTGGGATAGAACCCACGACCTCCTGCAGACCAGGCTAGGTAGTCAACATCTCATCAGGGTCTGGGATCGAACCCACAACCTCCTGCAGACCAGGCGAGGTAGTCAACATCTCATCAGGGTCTGGGATCAAACCCACAACCTCCTGCAGACCAGGCGAGGTAGTCAACATCTCATCAGGGTCTGGGATCAAACCCACAACCTCCTGCGTAGCAGGCGAGGTAGTCAACATCTCATTAGGGTGGTGATCGAACCCACAATCTCCTGCAGACCAGGCGAGGTAGTCAACATCTCATCAGGGTCGGGATTTAACCCACAACTTCCTGCATACCAGGCGAGGTAGTCAACATCTCATCAGGGTCGGGATTTAACCCACAATCTCCTGCAGACCAGGCGAGGTAGTCAACATCTCATCAGGGTCGGGATTTAACCCACGACCCCCTGCAAACCAGGCGAGGTAATCAACATCTCATCAGGGTCAGGATCGAACCCACGACCTCCTGCATACCAGGCGAGGTAGTAAACATCTCATCAGGGTCTGGGATAGAACCCACGACCTCCTGCAGACCATGCGAGGTAGTCAACATCTCATCAGGGTCGGGATTTAACCCACAACCTCCTGCAGACCAGGCGAGGTAGTCAACATCTCATCAGGGTCGGGATCGAATCCACAACCTCCTGCAGACGAGGCGAGATAGTCAACATCTCATCAGGGTCGGGATTTAACCCACAACCTCCTGCAGACCAGGCGAGGTAGTCAACATCTCATCAGGGTCGGGATCGAACCCACGACCCCCTGCAAACCAGGCGAGGTAATCAACATCTCATCAGGGTCAGGATCGAACCCACGACCTCCTGCAGACCAGGCGAGGTAGTCAACATCTCATCAGGGTCGGGATCGAACCCACGACCTCCTGCATACCAGGCGAGGTAGTCAACATCTCATCAGGGTCTGGGATCGAACCCACAACCTCCTGCGTAGCAGGCGAGGTAGTCAACATCTCATTAGGGTCATGATCGAACCCACGACCTCCTGCAGACCAGGCGAGGTAGTCAACATCTCCTCAGAGTTGGAATCGAACCCACGACCTCCTGCAGACCAGGCGAGGTAGTCAACATCTCATCAGGGTCTGGGATCGAACCCACAACCTCCTGCAGACCAGGCGAGGTAGTCAACATCTCATCAGGGTCGGGATAGAACCCACGACCTCCTGCGTACCAGGCGAGGTAGTCAACATCTCATTAGGGTGGTGATCGAACCCACGACCTCCTGCTGACCAGGCGAGGTAGTCAACATCTCATCAGGGTCTGGGATCGAACCCACGACTACCTGCATACCAGGCGAGGTAGTCAACATCTCATCAGGGTCGGGATAGAACCCACGACCTCCTGCATACCAGGCGAGGTAGTCAACATCTCATCAGGGTTGGAATCGAACCCACGACCTCCTGCAGACCAGGCGAGGTAGTAAACATCTCATCAGGGTCTGGGATAGAACCCACGACCTCCTGCAGACCAGGCTAGGTAGTCAACATCTCATCAGGGTCTGGGATCGAACCCACAACCTCCTGCAGACCAGGCGAGGTAGTCAACATCTCATCAGGGTCTGGGATCAAACCCACAACCTCCTGCAGACCAGGCGAGGTAGTCAACATCTCATCAGGGTCTGGGATCAAACCCACAACCTCCTGCGTAGCAGGCGAGGTAGTCAACATCTCATTAGGGTGGTGATCGAACCCACAATCTCCTGCAGACCAGGCGAGGTAGTCAACATCTCATCAGGGTCGGGATTTAACCCACAACTTCCTGCATACCAGGCGAGGTAGTCAACATCTCATCAGGGTCGGGATTTAACCCACAACCTCCTGCAGACCAGGCGAGGTAGTCAACATCTCATCAGGGTCTGGGATCTAACCCACAACCTCCTGCAGACCAGGCGAGGTAGTCAACATCTCATTAGGGTGGGGATCGAACCCACAACCTCCTGCAGACCAGGCGAGGTAGTCAACATCCCGTTAGCCACCGTGGCTGGCCCCACCTGGCACGAGGAAGTCGCCCTCCTCGTCGCAGAAGTCGAGGGGCTCCTCCTCGTCGCCTCTCACGGCCCACACATCCAGCAGGGCGCGGGGGGCGGAGGAGGTGGGGGGAAGAGATGGGTGTGGGGGGAGGAGGTGGGGGGAGGAGGTGGGGGGGAGGAGGAGGTGGAGGGAGGAGGTGGTGGAGGGAGGAGGTGGGGGGAGGAGGTGGGGGTGGGGAGGAGGAGATGGGGCGAGGGATCGTTAGATCCTTCCAACGTTGTTGTTGTTGTTGTCGTTTCGGTTGTTGTTGTTGTTGTTGTTGTCGTTGTTGTGTATCGTCGTCGTTGTGTATCGTCGTCGTTGTTTCCTCCGCCGCTGCAGCAGCAGCAGCAGCAGTCTCCTCCCGTCACCCGGCGGCCAGTCCCCTCCGCTCAGCTCGCCCAGTGGCAGCGAGGAAGCAGCCGCTAGGGGCAGCAGCAGCTAGGAGCAGCTAGGAGCAGCCGCTAGGGGCAGCAGCAGCTAGGAGCAGCTAGGAGCAGCAGCAGCTAGGGGCAGCAGCAGCTAGGGGCAGCAGCAGCTAGGAGCAGCAGCAGCTAGGAGCAGCAGCAGCTAGGAGCAGCTAGGAGCAGCAGCAGCTAGGAGCAGCTAGGAGCAGCAGCAGCTAGGAGCAGCTAGGGGCAGCAGCAGCAGCTAGGAGCAGCTAGGAGCAGCTAGGAGCAGCAGCAGCTAGGAGCAGCTAGGGGCAGCAGCAGCTAGGAGCAGCAGCAGCTAGGAGCAGCAGCAGCTAGGAGCAGCTAGGGGCAGCTAGGAGCAGCAGCAGCTAGGAGCAGCTAGGAGCAGCAGCAGCTAGGAGCAGCTAGGAGCAGCAGCTAGGAGCAGCTAGGGGCAGCAGCAGCTAGGAGCAGCTAGGGGCAGCAGCAGCAGCTAGGAGCAGCTAGGAGCAGCAGCAGCTAGGAGCAGCAGCAGCTAGGGGCAGCAGCAGCTAGGAGCAGCTAGGGGCAGCAGCAGCTAGGGGCAGCTAGGGGCAGCAGCAGCAGCTAGGAGCAGCTAGGGGCAGCAGCAGCTAGGAGCAGCAGCAGCTAGGAGCAGAGAGGAGGAATAGTGAAGCGACGTCTCGAATCCGGCTTGGAGAGAATCATTGAGCGTCTGGGGTTTCCCTCATTCTCATTCTCACTCCCTCCACCCTCCCCACCCTCCACCCTCCCCACCCTCCACTCTCCCCACCCTCCACTCTCCCCACCCTCCACTCTCTCCCCTCCCTCTCCCTCTCCCCTATCTCTCTTTTTTTACGATCAGAGGAACCAAGAGGATGCTCGGTGTCGTCGGCACTTTGCTTCGTTCATCATTTCGGTTGTGTTTTTTGCGATGCTTTGCTTTATGTAACCCCCCCCCCCCCCCTTTTTAAACGAAAGATTTCACAAAAGATTTCACGCTCTGCCCTCCTTACCCCTTGCCTCTCTCTCTCTCTACCCCCTCTCTCTCTCTACCCCCTCTCTCTCTCTACCCCCCTCTCTCTCTACTCCTCCCTCTCTCTCTACCCCCTCTCTCTCTACCCCCTCTCTCTCTCTCTACCCCCTCCCTCTCTCTCTACCCCCTCCCTCTCTCTCTACCCCCTCCCTCTCTCTCTACCTCCTCCCTCTCTCTCTACCCCCCTCTCTCTCTCTACCCCTCTCTCTCTCTCTACCCCTTCTCTCTCTCTCTCTCTACCCCCTCTCTCTCTACCCCTCTCTCTCTACCCCCTCTCTCTCTACCCCCTCTCTCTCTACCCTCTCTCTCTACCCCTCTCTCTCTACCCCCTCTCTACCCCTCTCTCTCTACCCCCTCTCTCTCTACCCCCTCTCTCTCTACCCTCTCTCTCTACCCCCTCTCTCTCTACCCCTCTCTCTCTACCCCTCTCTCTCTACCCCCTCTCTCTCTACCCCCTCTCTCTCTACCCCTCTCTCTCTACCCCTCTCTCTCTACCCCTTCTCTCTACCCCCCTCTCTCTCTACCCCCTCTCTCTCTACCCCCTCTCTCTCTACCCCTCTTTCTCTACCCCCTCTCTCTCTCTACCCCCTCTCTCTCTCTACCCCCTCTCTCTCCCCCCCTCTCTCTCTACCCCCTCTCTCTCTACCCCTCTCTCTCTCTACCCCTATCTCTCTACCCCCTCTCTCTCTACCTCTCTCTCTCTACCCCTCTCTCTCTACCCCCTCTCTCTCTACCCCTCTCTCTCTACCCCCTCTCTCTCTACCCCCTCTCTCTCTACCCCCTCTCTCTCTACCCCCCCTCTCTCTCTACCCCCCCTCTCTCTCTACCCCCCCTCTCTCTCTACCCCCTCCCTCTCTCTCTACCCCCTCCCTCTCTCTCTACCCCCTCTCTCTCTACCCCCTCCCTCTCTCTCTACCCCCTCTCTCTCTACCCCCCTCTCTCTATCCCTCTCTCTCTACCCCCTCTCTCTCTCTCTACTCCCTCCCTCTCTCTCTACCCCTCTCTCTCTACCCCCCTCTCTCTATCCCTCTCTCTCTACCCCCTCTCTCTCTCTCTACCCCCTCCCTCTCTCTCTACCCCCTCCCTCTCTCTCTACCCCTCCCTCTCTCTCTACCCCCTCCCTCTCTCTCTACCCCCTCTCTCTCTAACCCCTCTCTCTCTCTACCCCCTCTCTCTCTACCCCCCCCCCCTCTCTCTCTACCCCCTCCCTCTCTCTCTACCCCCTCTCTCTCTACCCCCTCCCTCTCTCCCTACCCCCTCTCTCTCTACCCCCTCTCTCTCTACCCCTCTCTCTCTACCCCTCTCTCTCTACCCCCCCTCTCTCTCTCTCCCCCTCTCTCTCTCTACCCCCCTCTCTCTCTACCCCCTCTCTCTCTACCCCCTCTCTCTCTCTCTACCCCCTCTCTCTCTCTCTCTACCCACTCTCTCTCTCTCTCTACCCCCTCTCTCTCTCTACCCCCTCTCTCTCTACCCCCTCTCTCTCTACCCCCTCTCTCTCTCTCTCTACCCCCTCTCTCTCTCTCTCTCTACCCCCTCTCTCTCTCTACCCCCTCTCTCTCTACCCCCTCTCTCTCTACCCCCTCTCTCTCTACCCCCTCTCTCTCTCTACCCCCTCTCTCTCTCTCTCTACCCCCTCTCTCTCTCTCTCTACCCCCCCTCTCTCTCTACCCCCTCTCTCTCTCTCTCTACCCCCTCTCTCTCTCTACCCCCTCTCTCCCTACTCCGACTCCCAACTATCGATCTGCCAACTCTACCACAGTAGCACCTGTAGCAGCTGTTAGTAGTAGCAGCTGTATGAGTAGCAGCTGTGGTAGTAGCTGTAACAGCTGTGCCAGTAGCTGTAGCAGTTGTAATAGCAGCAGCAGCTGTAGTAGTATGTGCTGTAGTAGTTGCAGCAGTAGTTGTAGCAGTAGCAGTAGTAGCTGCAGTCGTAGCAGAAGCTGTAGTAGCAGCTGTAGTAGCTGTAGTAGTTGAGGTAGCTGTAGTAGTTGCAGTAGCTGTAGTAGTAGCTGCTGTAGTAGTTGCAGTAGGAGCTGTAAAAGCTGTAGCAGTTGCAGTAGCTGTGGTAGTAGCTGCTGTAGTAGCTGCAGTGGCTGTAGTTGCAGCAGTAGCTGTAGTAGTTGCAGTAGCTGTAGTAGCTGATGTAGTAGCTACAGTAGCTGTAGAAGCTGTAGTAGTAGCTGCTGTAGCTGTAGTAGCTGTAGTAGTAGCTGTAATAGTAGCTCTAGTAGCTGCAGTAGTAGCTGCTGTAGTAGCTGCAGTAGTAGCTGCTGTAGTAGCTGTAGTAGTAGCTGCAGTAGCTGTAGTAGTCACAGTGGCTGTAGCAGCTGCTGTTGTTATAGTGGCTGTAGAAGTTGTAGTAGCTGTGGTAGCAGCTGTAGCAGCTTTAGCTGTAGTAGTTACAGTAGCTGTAGTAGCTGCTGTAGTAGCTGCAGTAGCTGTAGTAGTAGCTGCTGTAGTAGCTGCTGTAGTAGCTGCTGTAGTAGCTGCGATAGCTGTAGTAGTAGCTGCTGTAGTAGCTGCAGTAGCTGTAGTAGTAGCTGCTGTAGTAGCTGCAGTAGCTGTAGTAGTAGCTGCTGTAGTAGCTGCGGTAGCTGCAGTAGTAGCTGCTGTAGTAGCTGCGGTAGCTGTAGTAGTAGCTGCTGTAGTAGCTGCAGTAGTAGCTGCTGTAGTAGTAGTAGCTGCTGTAGTAGCTGCTGTAGTAGTAGCTGCTGTAGTAGCTGCTGTAGTAGCTGCGGTAGCTGTAGTAGTTACAGTGGCTGTAGTAGCTGCTGTAGTTATAGTGGCTGTAGAATCTGTGGCAGCAGTTTTAGCTGTAGTAGTTACGCTAGCTGCATTCGTAGCCAAAGCAGTTGCAGTAGTAGCTGTGGTAATATCAGCAGTGGCTGCAACAGCAGTCGCTACAGAAGCAGTAGCCCCTGTAGCAGCAGCTGTAGCAGCAGTAGCAGTAGACGCGATTGTAGCAGCAGCTGCTGTCCCAGTAGGAGCTGTAGTAGCAGTAGCAACAGTGGCAGCTGTAGTAGCAGCTGTAGTAGCAGCTGTAGATGCCGCAGCAGCTGTAGCAGTTGTTGCAGCTTTAGTAGCTGCTGCAGTTGTAGTAGGTGTAGTAGCTCTAGCGGTGGCGGTAGCTGCCGCAGCAGCTGTATCAGCTGCAGTAGGAGTAGCTCGTGTAGCTGTAGTAGCAGCTGCACAGCACCAGCAGCTGTAGTAGCAGCTGTAGTAACAGCTGTAGCAGCAGCTGATTAAGGAGCAGCTGTAGTAGCAGCTGTAGTAACAGCTGTAGTAGCAGCTGATTAAGGATCAGCTGTAGCAGCTGTAGTAGCAGCTGTTTAGGGAGTAGCTGTAGCAGCAGCTGTAGTAGCAGCAGCTGTTTAAGGAGTAGCTGTAGCAGCAGCTGTAGTAGCAGCTGTAGTAGCAGCTATTTAAGTAGCAGCTGCAACACCAGCTGTAGTAGTAGCAGCTGTAGTACTAGTAGCAGCTATAGTCGTAGCAGCTGTAATGCCAGCTGTAGTAGTAGCAGCTGTAGTAGCAGCTGTAGCAACAGCTGTTTAAGTAGCAGCTGTAACACCAGCTGTTTAAGTAGCAGCTGTAGTCACTATATGAGGAGCTGTAGCAGCAGCAGCTCTAGTAGTAGTAGCTGTAGTAGTTGTAGCTTTAATATCTGTGGTAGTAGCAGCAGCTGTAGTAGCTGGAG